CTGCTGAACCCCCTGCTCCCCACAGCACAGCGCCCCCTGCTGAGCCCCCCTGCCCCGCTCCCCACAGCACAGCGCCCCCTGCTGAGACCCCCACCACCTGGTTCCCCTCAGCACAGCGCCCCCTGCTCAGCCCCCACCCTGCTTCCTGCAACACAGCGCTCCCAGAGATCCCCTCACCCCACTCCCTGCAGGGCTGTCTGATGGGGTGGCCCTGCAGGGATGAATAATGCAAACCCCCATGCAGGGCATGGGGGGTTGCCATGGAAACAAGCACATCAGGAGTCTCTGCATCCTCAGCTGGCTGCCAGGGCGGGGGCGGGAACGGGAGGGAATCAGGGACCTGGCAACCGGCCACCACATGCGGAACCCAGCCCTGGCACGGCTCTGCTGGTACTCCTCACTCCCGACCCGCAGCCCCCTGCTCTCCCAGCCCTGCGTCCCCCGGCCGAGGGGTGCGCGTGGGGGTACCTGTGGAGGTTCCTGGCTCTGGCCCCCGGCCAGGGAATCAGTGGCAGACGGCGCGAGGGCTGGGCATAGACAGACAGATGGAGCCAGACAGGGAGTGCCCCCGGACACACACACACTCCAGCGCCAGGATGGTGGCTGCAGGGAACCCCGGAGTCTGGGCCCCGCCTCGGAGCGGGGTGATGAGTCCGAGCGGGTGCCTGGCGCTGGGTGTGGGGGGGAGTTCCTGGGAGCCTGGCTCTGCCCTTCTGGTCCCCCCCACCCCTGCATGGGCTGTGTACTAGCAACCGGGATGGGGGGCAGAGAGCACATCCACCCCCCCCAATATTAGGGTTCAGCCTCAGGATGGGGGTAAGATAGAGACTGGTCATGGCTCTGCCCACTCCTGGGAGGGTCTGAGCCCTGTCCCCCAACCCTGGGCCCCCTTTGCTGTGCCCCACTCCCCACCCCACGGCTGGGTCTCTTCCCCCACGCCTACCCCTTCTCATCTCCTAGCCATGGGTTGACCCTCCCCACGTCACCTCCATCCCTAGATCCATGAGGTCAGCACTGAATGTGAGGGGAGAATATCCCTGCAGCCCAGCGCCCCCTGCTGAGCCCCCCCCCTGCTCCCAGCAGCACAGCACCCCCTGCTGAGCCCCCACCCCACTCCCCACAGCACAGCGCCCCCTGCTGAGCCCCCCCGCTCCTCCCCGCAGAACAGCTGAGCCCCCCCCGCTCCCTGCAGCACGGCGCCCCCTGCTGAGCCCCCCGACTCCTCCCTGCAGAACAGCTGAGCCCCCCCCGCTCCCTGCAGCACGGCGCCCCCTGCTGAGCCCTCGCCTCGCTCCCTGCAGCATGGTGCTCCCTAGCACAGCACTGGGCCATTGGGGTGAGCACTGACTGCCAGGGGTAATTCCCTGTCCCCCCATTGTGGCTCAGTGGGGTTTCCTGTTTGCTCCCATCTAACTGGCAGCAGGCTCAGGACCTGGGGGGAGGGGCTGGCCCCGAGTGCCCTTTAGCCGGGTGCCCTGACTCATGTCTAGCTGAGTCAGGGCCCAGATCTGGCCCATGCCCAGGTCCCTAGGCAGCTCCAACCCTCCCTGGGATTCCCCTTCCAGCCACACTCGCCCAGTGGCAGGTCAGCCTCCAGGCGAGCTCCCTCAGCCCAGATGCTGCCAGAGAGCTTTCGCCTGTCGCTGGGAGAGGGGGGAGCTGCCCCCAGTACGACTGATCCAGCAATGCTGCCTGAGTCTGCCGAGAGCCTACACCCATTGCTGGGAGAGGGATGGACTCTTCTGTTCATCTCCAAAGGATGTTAATCCTGAAGCCTAGTGACAATACTGTAGATGCCCACAGAGCCCCGTGCTGCTCAGCTGCAGCACACACACAGCTTGCACAGATATACACACACAACACTCACAGTGCTGAGCTGGCTTATCAGTGCACAACTGGAGGGGGTGAGTGTGAGAGGCTGGAGAGGCTGCTGGAGTCACAGTGAGGGTGTGTAGTGTGTGTGAGTGCAGGGTTGATGGGGCAGTCTGAATGTGTGTGTGTGTGAGTGTGTGTGTAAAATCAACACTAACTATAGCTGCAATAGAGCTGTACTGTTAAGTAGAACTGCACAACAGATTCAAAGCACGCAGCGCTCACAGACAGAGCACATCTACACTGGGCGTAACACACACGGCACAGAACAGAGTGCACACACACACACCCTGCACAGACCACACATACACACTGCCCAGAGCACACACACAAACACACTGCATAGAGTGGAATACGCACACTAGGGATGTAAAATGTTAACAGGTTAACCCGCCTTAACCATTAACCCCTGGGCTGGCTGGACCGCCGACCCCAGCAGCCCCCACCCCCTGCAGCCCCGTGCCAGCCGACCGGCCCACCAATCCCAGCAGCCGCCCCCCAGCAGCCCTGAGTCAGCCGACCGGCCCGCCGACCCCAGCAGCCACCCCCACACACAGCAGCCCCCACCCCGAGCAGCCCCATGCCAGCCGCCCGGCCCACCGACCCCAGCAGCACCAGCCAGTTGCCTGACCCCAGCCCCTCTCCTTTTAATCAGTTAACCGTTTAAACGATAATTTTAGTCATTTAAATGGTTAACTTTTAAATGATATTTACATCCCTAACACACACACTGCACAGAGCGCGCGCACACACGCACACACACACACCGACACACACACAGCCGGACGCAGACAGTTCCCGAATCCCTGTGCTGACTGGGGTGGGGGGTATTTCTTGGCAGTGCAGCCAGCCGCAGAGCCACGGCCCAGCCAGCACGAACACACCGCGGCAGAGACCGGTGCCCCTCCCCCGCCCTCTCGGCACACAACCCCCCTAGGCACCCGCTGCCCAGCACAGACACCCAGTGCACACTCGCAGTACACACCCACTGCCCCCCCATTCGCTCCCTCCCCCTGGGGAAGCCCTCGATCCCACACCCACAGGGGGAGAGTGGCTACACACCACAGTGCACACACTAGACAATGCTCTACACAAGACCCTATGCTACACAGCCCACACAACTCCTTCAGCATGCGTATCCCCCTTGCACAACACCCCACTACGCGTACACACACATATGCACAGAGTCCCAACAGAACAACACACACACATAACCTCAACACAACAGCCCACGACACACCTGCCGAGGGGCCAGGGGATGGCAGGTACACTGTACCACCAGACAACACCTAAAAGCCATTCCCCTGGACTGAGGCAAACTGCTGCCCCTAGGCAGCCTCACACACACACACACACACACACACGAGCACTTACACTGTCACCCCCTCACAACCCAATACACCCCCAAACATACACATAATCAGAACCTTACTTGGCCACACTCATTGTGACCCAGCATACACACTGCCATACCCTTGCAAAAATTCACACACACACACAAATGTTCAGGCCCTCGCAACCCAACACTGAGTCACACAAACATCCCACAGCGTGTGCGTGCGCACGAATGCACACACACACCTGCACGCACACACACACACACCCTGCTGAAGGATAAGGGGTAGCGAGAGATTCTTTAACAGCCTGACAATCTCACACCATTGCATCCTGAGACAACACCATCATCACACACACACACAGACTAAGGCTGCAGTGAGAGTAATGTGCTGTATGATGGGAACCACCCCATGCTCAATCACACCTTGAACAAGTGCACGCACACACACACACACAACCTGCACTCACACACACACAACCTGCACTCACACACACACACCTGCACTCACACACACAGCCCACCCTATCTGCAGTAACTCCATGGGGACTGCAGGGGAAAGGGACAGAGTGCACTTCCCTACACAATCTTACACCATATACACTGACACAACACACACACACAGAGAATACAGATTACAGGCAGAAGCAACACACACACACACACACATTTGCACCATATACACTAACACAACATACACCTTATGCCTCTAAACACATTGCACCACAACACATGGGGGAAACACACAGTGTGCACTGTCACACGCACCACACACATACTGTACCAAACACACACCTGCATGAGGGGTCCCAGTTCCCGTCCCTGCTCCCGGTCAGCAAAGGGGGAGCCGGGACTCATAGCCTAACCCTAGTGAGAGATCCCGCCCCACAGCTCCCTGCTCCTCCAGACCCTCCCAACCCCCACCCCACCCCACAGCTCTCTGCTCCCCCAGCCCCCTTCCTGATCCCCCCACCCCACAGCTCCCTGCTCCCCAGGTCCCCTCCCGACCTCCACACCCCACAGCTCCCTGCTCCCAAGGTCCCCTCCCGACCCCCGCACCCCACAGCTCCCTGCTCCCCCAGGCCGCTTCCCGACCCCCCCACCCCACAGCTCCGTGCTCCCCCAGGCCTCCCCGACTCCCTCCTGACCCATAGCTCCCTGCTCCCCGCAGACACCCCCACTGCCTCCACCTCCCCAGAGCTGATCTGGGGCCCCTCTCACTTCCTGTGCATGGCAGCTGCTTTTCAGCTATGTCTGGAGCTGTGAGTGTCCCGGAGCCAGCCAGCCCTGAATCCATCCCTCCATCCCTCCCTCTGTCCAGCCCTGAATCCATCCCGCCATCTAACCAGCTTTTATCCATCCCTCCATCAGTCCAGCCTTGAATCCATCCCTCCATCCCTCCCTCTGTCCAGCCCTGAATCCATCCCTCCATCTAACCAGCTTTTATCCATCCCTCCATCAGTCCAGCCCTGAATCCATCCCTCCATCCCTCCCTCTGTCCAGCCCTGAATCCATCCCTCCATCTAACCAGCTTTTATCCATCCCTCCATCAGTCCAGCCCTGAATCCATCCCTCCATCCCTCCCTCTGTCCAGCCCTGACTCCACGCAGCCATCTAACCAGCTTTTATCCATCCCTCCATCAGTCCAGCCCTGAATCC